TACCCACCGAAATGTATAAGCAAAACTTACAATTTTCACTTATATAAAAAATAAGCTTCATCATTATGATAACTAGCATAAAATACTTGCTCTCTGTTGCAAGGTTCAAAGGCCCTCTCATGATTCACAGAGACCCCAATCTACCCATCAAGCTCCTCCATTACCCAAAGTTATTTATATAAGTACCCCCAAGACAAACTACATTAGTGCACCTGATCCTTGTTTGCCAAGTTTGATCCCTCTAGCTTAAAGGTACGAACAAAGTTTCAAACATTGCGCTCTTGGGATCCCGATGGAGCCAGGAACACTACATCTGATGCCAGATTCGGATTCGGCGACCCTGAGAACCTATTCCAAGACTCACATAATGCTTGGGTGACCTTTCTGGCATGATTTGTCCCTTCCCCCATATATTCAATACCGATTGGAAAATGAACATACAATTTAACTTTTAAAGAACAATTATGAATCATTTTCAGTTAAAGAAACGTGTAATTTTTAGTCAAACCAAGACATGGTAGTCAGCGAAAACGACCTCAATGTTATAGTATTGTATCCTTGTTGTACCAAGAGCCTTTCTCATTCTCGCCGGTCTGTTTTACAGATATCTCGATCAGGTATTATACATCTTAAGACACTTCTCCAAACTGTTTTTGTACGATCGACCCGATATAAAAATAACAGTTTTATTATAATACCAAACATGCTCGCCCTCTCAACCGTGGGGGCGTTATAATGTCACGGCCAATCCCACTATTCGTTGGTAAAAGAGTACCCCAAGAGCTGGCGGTGGGTGGTGATGACTAGCTGCCTTCCCTCTAGTCTCACACTGCTAAATTAGCGATTTCCAATAAAAAAAGAAACAATATTATCTCAATATTATATCAGAAGACATCAGGTCGGCTGGAAATGCAATACACAGAACCCTGGTCGAAACACTATTTATGTCAGTCAGTTACAATATGGTATATAATGCCTTATACTGACGAAGCCTTATCTATTGACTGTTTGTTTGTGGTTAAGCCACAAAAATCTTAATTTGAGTCCTGTTCGCCACAGGTATCGAAACCCGATTTTCAGCGTTATAAACCCTCAGACTCATCGCTGGACCACTGGGGGACAGATGATCTATTAATCAACAGTTTGTGTAACATTACCCCACAATAAGACTTATAATATCGAAACCCGATTTTCATTTATAAACCCTCAGACTCATCGCTGGACCACTGGGGGACAGATGATCTGTTGACCAAGAGCTTGTGTAACATTACCCCCCAGTAAGACGTATAATAATTTGCTATAACGTAATAGGATATCGAACGTGTCCCCCGGCGGGTGAGCGGTACTTTCACGGACTTACAACGCTAAAATACGGGGTTCGAATCCTCGCGGTAGACAGAATGTAGGTTTGCGCTGAAACAACATCTCAAACGCACACCACAAAGTTACGGTTTTCTTACTACAAGCCCGTAGTGTAGAGACAGTAAAGAATACTTTGTAGACAATTGTTATCAGTCTTATTGCGATGTAATATCACACAAACTACTGATTTCTAGCCCTTCTTATTTCTTGAACTAAAATTAAATTGAAAGAGACATTCTTACTGTAATTTACAGTAAATAAATACAAACCAAACGTATCCAAAACATATGTACCTATTTTTTTCTATATATATATATA